GGGATTATAGGTGCACACCACCATACCTGGCTATTTTTTTTTTTTTTTTGAGACAGAGTCTTGATCTGTAGCCCAGGCTGGAGTGCACTGGTGCAATCTCGGCTCACTGAAAGTTCTGCCTCCCGGGTTTACGCCATTCTCCTGCCTCAGCCTCCCAAGTAATTGGGACTACAGGCGCCCGCCACCACGCCCAGCTAATTTTTTGTATTTTTAGTAGAGACGGGTTTCACCATGTTAGCCAGGATGGTCTCGATCTCCTGACCTTGTGCTTCGTCCGCCTCAGCCTCCCAAAGTGCTGGGATTACAGGTGTGAGCAACCACGCCGGCCACACCTGGCTAATTCTTTGTATTTTTAGTAGAGACGGGGTTTCACTATGTTGGCCAGGCTGGTCTTGAACTCCTGACCTCATGATACACCCGCCTCAGCCTCCCAAAGACAAATCTGTTCGTTTTAAGGGACAGGATCCATCTGTGCCACTCTCACTATCTGTATGAATAAACTGCACCCCCAACCAGTTGATAGGACCTGCATGTTCATAATGCTAGAAGTTCTCTCCAGGCAGCTAGCTGGAGCCAAATGCTGACATGAAAAGTACAAAAGATTAGGAATGCTTATATCCAGGCTAACACTCAGTGATGAGGATGTCTAGTTATGAGACAAGAAATCTGAAGTTTTGGGATGGGTGTGGTGGCTCATGCCTGTAATCCCAGCACTTTGGGAGGCTGAGGCAGGCGGATCACGAGGTCAAAAGATTGAGACCATCTTGGCTAACACAGTGAAACCCCCGTCTCTACTAAAAATACAAAAAATTAGCCGGGCGTGGTGGGGGGTGCCTGTAGTCCCAGCTACTCAAGAGGCTGAGGCAGGAGAACGGCGTGAACCTGGAAGGCGGAGCTGGTAGTGAGCCAAGACCACGCCACTGCACTCCAGCCTGGGTGACAGAGCGAGACTCCGTCTCAAATTAAAAAAAAGAAAAAGGAAAAAAAGAAATTTGAAATTTCAGGCTGAGTGCAGTGGCCTGTAATACCAGCACTTTGGGAGGCCGAGGTGGGTGGATCACCTGAGGTCGGGAGTTCAAGACCAGCCTGACCAACATGGAGAAACCCTATCTCTACTAAAAATACAAAATTAGCTGGATGTGGTGGCATATGCCTGTAATCCTAGTTACTTGGGAGGCTGAG